TGCTCTCCATGTGTATACCTCTTTTTTTCCCCCTTTACACTCTCTCTCTCTCATACATACACACACACACACACAGGCTGGCTTTTGTTGTTGTATAGCAGCCTGAGGCTGTATCTGATGTGGACTGAAGAGTGAAGAGTAGCATACAGCACAGTGAGAACGGAGGGGGTAAGAGAGGTACACATCACGGGAAATGTTGTACTCCCTGTATACAGGTGTTTTATATCTGGATGTGTTTGTGTGAGAGTCGTAGCAGTCCTTTCACACATGATCTGTGTGTGTATGTGTGAGAGAAAAGAGAGTATATGTATTCCCCTTATTTAAACAATTGGTTGCCCAGCCTCCTGGGTCTGAGTGCTCTCCATGTGTATACCTCTTTTTTTTCCCCTTTACACTCTCTCTCTCTCATACATACACACACACACACACAGGCATATGTTGTGTAAACACTGCATCGGTGAACAGACCTCTCGCTGTGTCCAGTAAGCACAGAGAGCATGTCAGCACGAGTCCATGTTTCGGGGCCAGAGGCCACAGTGTGTGTGTGTGTGACTGTTTTTGTGTGACCTTGAGTCTCCTCCCCACCCCCTCAGGCTCGGGTTTACCCACACACACACACACACACACACACACACAATCATACTCCTGCATGCACACACATGCACCGGCTGGCCCTCACCATAGCAACCACAGAGCAACACAGGGAAACAACTTGCCAGCAGCAGGTTGGAAGGAGAGATAGAGAGATGGAGAAAGAAGAAGGAGTGGAGAAAGAGATTTAAGAGAATAGGGGAAGGAGACGTGAAACTTGAAGGGGAAATTCAAGGTTTAGAGGGTGTGTGTAGGGAGTCAAAGCATGATGAAACGTGCATCCTCAAGTATGGCAGCACAAAACGTGCCGCTTCACACCAAAACATGCACTGCACATACTTTGTTGTACATTAGGCTGTGCCTTCCTGCTGTTTTTAGACCATCTGATTCTGTGTTTCTTTTAGCCCACACTGCAATCAGAAACAGTCGGAATGAGATGTCTTTATTTAGTCCTCAATATGAAAGGCAACCCAGGGAGGCTATTTTTGCCCCGCTAGCTTTATTCCAGCTATGGGACATGTGACTGTTCTTAATGTCAGCAGTTTAATATAACCAGTGTCAGGGAAGGGAGGTTACAGGAGTGCAGGGACAGTCGTCTGGTGAAATTTCACACAAATGCACACGGTGGATTTCTTGAGCCCTGCAGATGTGATGAGAGGAGCTTTTCTGTAGCTGCTTGTGTTTGGAGAGATGCCACATCACTCATTCAAGAGTCTTGGTTTTTAAGCTTGTTTGTTTTCTGCTGTCCATCCGCAGCAAACCTCTCCTAGCTTTTCTTCGGGATTAAAAGAAGAAAATAAGCGGGAATAGAGCAGGGATATAGTCACTTAACAAAACACTAATGACGTCCCTTTCCTTAAATGAATTGCTAAATCCACAAATCTCTTTGACTAATTGCCATTTTGAAAATTGGAGGGGGGAAAACGGCTTTAACACATGTACAGTAGCGATCAAAAGTTTGTTCTCAGTAATTTTTGAAAGGAATTAATACTTTTGTTCAGCAAGGATGCGTTACATTGATCAAAAGTGACTGCAAAAAAAAGTAATGGCTGCTGAAAATGAGAAATAAATGACATTTTTAAATATTTAAAAAAAAAAATCTGAATGACAGTTACAGAACGAGAGAGAGAGAGAATGAGAAAGAAAGAGTGCAGTGGTCGTACTGAGCCACAGGCCTTCAGAAACTCCTCGAGGATGTGGCGCCTTGTTGTTGCTCTAAATGTCTTGAAACTTTGCTGAGGCTGCAGCATGTTCATGGAATTTCCAAAAGTCATAAATGTCCATGGCCTGATGTATCATCTTGTAAAGTGATTTTACATTATAGTGCATCATACTGACCGTTAGGGGTTTGGGATACTTCATTTTACAGCATTCCAGATTGAGTTGAATGTATCTGGTGACCTTAAAGTGAACATGAAATCAGAATTAACACTGTTTACTTTAATAATACATGTTCCTGGTTCTATTTTGCATGATTCATCATTGCATTTTATTCTAAACAGAAATGTTTGTCTTCATAATCTTTCATCAAAATGTAATTACTGGCTCCATTATGCTATGAAACGTCTACTCTTCAGGATTCAGTCAGTTCCCAGTAGAATATTGAATGTTTTGTTTTACTCACATGTTATATCATAATTTGGAAGGAAAATGGATTGTGAGTGTGGTTTCATGTTGATTTAAATCATATCATAACATCATTAAAACGGTAGAGGAAAATTCACCTTTTGATGTTGGCCAGAGTTTGCAAATTAGACTGATTGGGATGAATAAGCACTATTTAGATTTATGTTGCACACTGTGCAAAACTAGAGAGCAGCCATTCAAAAGCTATTCAAAAATCTGGAATCAGTACAATTTTTTTTCTTTAATATTTTATTCCGCAAGGATGCATTAAATTGATGAAAAGTGACAAAACTATAATAATATAAGCCGCACAACCATTTTCAATCTTAGTAATAATCTTGTTAATAAAGACTTTTCAAAAACATTACAAAATGTTACCGACCCCAGGCTTTTAATGGTAGTGCAAGTTGAGCTAGTTTTTGTGTGAACCTGGCAACCCATTTCACACACACACACACACACACACACACACACACACACAAGAACTGATGTCCTGGTGTCCAGTAAGGTTCGCAGCTGTTACCAGGGGTGGTGGACCCTTACCACTGAAAGAAATCTTACATGTACATGGTGTTGGCAGGGTCATGGTTCATTTAAGTTGAGCCCTTCACCCTTTTTAGGTCTTAAAGCATAAACATGGCCTCCACTTCTGAATCCCCTGTCGTCTCAATGCACTGACCCAGAGCGAGCCCATAAAAATATAGAGTGCAGTATATTCAGTCCTGTAAAAAAATGATGAGGCAAAGCTTTCATGAAGACTGACCCATAATGCTCCATTTAGCATTTTTTCTAAAGTCGTCTAATTTAGTTCAGCAATATGGTAACACATTACAATATGTTCAGCTGATTACCATTAGTAAATGCATCATGTACTAACAATGAACAACAAATTGTTTTACTGAATTTTAAAATCTAGGTTAATGATTTTTTTTTTATAAAATAAAAGATGAAAAACTACCATTCAGTGTTAATTTTTGTTAGTTCAGAATACATTAGTTAACATTAAATAATACAATTTGTTAAAAATGTATTATTATATGCAGAAATCAATCAATGCTAAAAGTTGTTTTTATTGTTATTTTATGTTAGCTATTAACCTGTACATATAGAAACTTCTTGTAAAATGTTACCATTAATATTTTGAAACTAAGCATACCCTTTTGGTTTAATAATTTTCTCAGTGATGCATGTCTCCAAGTCTAATAAAACCATGCTGTCCTGGGAACTACATGAACCAAATCCCACCACCATCCAAGTCTTCCGTTGTTCCCTGATTCTCTTTTCCCCACCGTCTATTTCTTTTTCCCCTTTCCACAAATATCTGGCTCTATTCTCAAGACCCGTCAATTTATATGTGAAGCATGTTTTTCTCATTATTGTGTTGCTGTGGTTGGCTTGGTCCTTCTGTTACCTGTGAATTGGTCATCTCTCTCTCTCTCTTTTTTTTTGCTCTGGTTCCCAGTTTCTCTCTCTTTTTCTGCATTGGGTCAGTGTTTGCCAAGCATAACATTTCAACAGTAGAGAGATTGTTAGGAGCCTGTGTGCTCAGCCTAAGTAACACCCTTTATATGTGAAGCATGTTTTTCTCATTATTGTGTTGCGCTGTGGTTGGCTTGGTCCTTCTGTTACCTGTGAATTGGTCATCTCTCTCTCTCTTTTTTTTTGCTCTGGTTCCCAGTTTCTCTCTCTTTTTCTGCATTGGGTCAGTGTTTGCCAAGCATAACATTTCAACAGTAGAGAGATTGTTAGGAGCCTGTGTGCTCAGCCTAAGTAACACCCTCCCACACACGCATGTCAGCGGAAAAGCTCCCCTCCGTTTCTGAACTCCTCACCTGTCTGGGAAGCATATTGGCAGGTCAAACGTGTGTACATACTGCTGGATGGGGCATTGCATCGCCACACTGTCTCCCTGTGTCTAACTGAGGTTTGCGTCGGACACCCTAGTGTGCAGCACCAGGAAGGAAAACGTTTTTCTGAAAGCTTTTTGTTCTGGAAAAGACTTCAGCGACTTCACAGAATGATGTGTTACATCTAATTATTCACATTTTAATGGGTTTTTCACTTCCCTATTTCCGTTTTCAGAAGATGAAAGTCTTGTTTGTACTATTTTAGCAGCAGAAGTAGAATGTCTTTTATGGTTTTGTTTTTCTTTTCTCACCTTTCTACCCGCTCATTTATTTTTTCCTTCAATTCGGTTTCTGTGTTTTTTCCCTTACTCGTGACTCGAAAACGTGTCTTTATGTTTCTGTCTGGATTTTAATTACTTGCTGGAATGTGTTTTGAAGTCGTCTTGGAAAAAGTGGGCTAACGTCTGATATTAATGTGCATGGATGAGGATTTGGGAAGTAATTGCGCATATGCAGGGTTATTCAAATGAAAACGCATTGGGGGAAATAATTGTCATGCAAATTGCCGTTTGATGTGGTGGATGTCCAGTGCTTCCAGATCAATATAGCCTGTCAAAAATATCTGGTTTGGCTATTGAGTGCTGCAGGGATGACTATTTTGTAGGCCAACCTGGAAGTTACCATCACCCTGTTTCCTTAAAAAAAGGATTTTCCTACGGTCTTTTGGATTATTGCAGAAATTAAGTTCCAATCCAGTCATTTTACCATTAAAATGTATGTTTTGCTTCATATCATTGTTTTTCATAGCAGTTCATTTGTCCATTAAAAAGGACCTTAATCAAGGACCATTAAAAATCCTGCTTAACCACAATTAACTTCTTTATTTTCATGGAAATAAAAAAATTATATTGACTCACCTCTTCACTTTTTTAACAGCTTGTTGGCTACAATGAGAAGCCAGTGAACCTGCAGATGTTCATCGGGACAGCGGATGACCGTTATTTGAGGCCGCACGCGTTCTACCAGGTTCACCGCATAACAGGAAAAACTGTCGCTACGGCAAGCCAGGAAATTATCATCGCCAGCACGAAGGTTCTCGAGATTCCTCTCCTTCCTGAAAACAATATGTCTGCCAGGTACCTGCCAACAGCTCTTCTCTTCAGCATCAATCTAGATTCTCTCTCTCACACACACATGCATAAATACACATTTGTTTTTTGTATTATAGTGAGGACTTTCCATTTGACTTTTGTTTTTAATAATATTGAATATCCCCTAACCTACCCATCCTTAAACCTAACCCTCGCAGAAACATTTTTGCATTTTAAAATATGAATTATTTAGTTCAGGATGATAAAGTTATTGTCCTTGTGGGGACTGTCAGCTGCTCAACACAGTGTAGATGGTTTTAGGTAAAGGAATTTGTCATCACATTGTGGTGAAATATGCAGAAACTCTAGAAGCCATATTTCCAAAGAGCTACAGTTTCCTTCTAAGATAATGATATTTACTATGGCCGCTAAACCTAACCATAACTGAAAACACTATTGGATTTGGATTAAATATGAGTCTTTTAAATCATCACATATCATCACAAGTTGATTTTCTATGTGAGAGAAGACCTTTTCAAAAATCTGTCGTTCATTTCATCATTATATAACATTATATCTAATTTTCAGTCTTCACTGTCACATGATCCTTCAAAAACATTTTAATATGCTGATTTGGTGCTCAAGAAACATTTCTTATTATTATCAATGTTGAAAACCGTTATGCTGCTTCATATTTTTGCAGAAACTGTGATATATACTTTTTGTAGTATTCTTTCATGAATACCCTATAGTGAAAAATAAGTATACTGAAATTTATTTGAAATACATTTACTGTTAATTTACTAAAAATACATTTACGTAGTTATGCGCTTAATAAAAATACCTTGCAATTGTGCTTTTAGTATACTAAAATGGTATACTGAAAGTCTGCTAAATTGGAACAACTAATTTTATGCTTAATGCACTTTAATTGTGCGGAAGTAGTGCTGAAGTCTGAAGTATATTTGATTGTGCTAAAGTGGAACAATTGCGAGTATACTTAAGGTGCACTTTAAATGTCTTACATTTAAAGACTGATATTATTGAAAGATCATACAGTCCTCATCAATAGTGACATTAAAACATATTTTAGGCTTAATATTAAGAAATGAGAATTGTGCACAAATAGTACTCCAAATAAAGTTTAATTATAATTTTTATATCAGTAAGTTGAGCGATGTGTCAGTAAATATGTTAACAGATTTGAACTATACTTAGTATGAAATAAATGTATTTTAAATAAATTACTTTTTTGTAAAAGAACAGCATTTATTTGAAATAAAAAAATTCTATGACATTAAATGTGCAGTATTTATAGAATAAGAATGTTTCTGATCGAAAACAATAATATCTGCCATTTTTAATAAGCACAGCTTAAACTTTGAATTCTGTTCAATTAAAAATATTCCTTTTGCTATCAGTTATTTATTAACTCCATAAAGAAAAGCGTATAAAAAGAGTGTAAATGACTTGGAGTGAATGGAAATCATTTAAAAAGCTTTGCTTGATAGGTAGGATGATGGAACTGTTATGGATACTCCTTTCTCAAGTGTTTCTCCTGCTGTGTTTGCCAGTATTGATTGTGCTGGAATCCTGAAGTTGAGGAACTCTGACATTGAGCTGAGGAAAGGAGAGACTGATATTGGACGGAAAAACACTCGGGTCCGTGTGGTGTTCCGAGTTCACATCCCACAACCCAATGGAAAAGTGGTCTCACTGCAGGCTGCTTCAATTCCAGTGGAGTGCTGTAGGTTTTATACACACACATAGAAGAAAAATATATTTGAGGGGGAGGGGGAGGGGGGGGGGAATTATATTATATTACTGTCTAATGTAAATTACTTTCTTATCTGTATTTGTGGTGAAATAGCCCAGCGCTCAGCACAGGAGTTACCTCAGGTCGAGAAGGCCAGCATTAGCAGCTGCTCAGTGAGTGGAGGAGAGGAAATGGTCATCACTGGCTCCAACTTCTTCCCTGAGTCAAAGGTCATTTTTTTGGAGAAAGGTCCTGGTAAGAATCAATGGGGTTCAAGTGCTATTTTAGATTGGAGTTTCTTTTCTCCATGATTTGGCTCTCTGGAACACATGTTCAAGCATTTTTGTTTAATATTTTTTCTTTTTTTTTAAGAAAATGTAAGTTTCATACTGTATCTCTTGGGCCTATTCTTCCCACATATTTTTCTCACTTTATACATAATTTAAATTCAAATCAATATTTCATATCCATTTATTAATTTATCAAGTAGCTATGCACTAAGCTACAGTCAGCAGGTCGTAATATCAAAATTAACCCCTTTTAGGGTGATTTTAGATCCCTCCACTTAGTATCGTCACTTGCATTTGGCTAGTACTAATTCCTTTTAGCAGGTTGCTGCAAGCTCTGCAAGCACAGCTGAGTATGCACTACAAATGTCTTCACCATTCACTGTGAGCAAATATTGCCTCCTCACCTGTCTTACCCTCAAGGGTCACAGTTATACCTGCACTAATCTCTGTCTTAGTGAAGCTAAACCAGCCTTATTCTTAAAAACAGCAAGATCAGGTGGGTTTTAGCTAAAGTCTGTGTGGCTTTGGGAAACTGGAGTGACGGGTAAAATGTGAGGGAGTGTCGATTTCTCACTTCTCATTTGAGAGCGCAATTTGATTGTTGCTCGTCTAACCAGAGTGATTTATCTTCGCTTTATCAGCATCTTGACCTCCCACGATTTCCCTTCTCCTCTGGGGACACTGTGTGTGTGTGTGTGAGTGTGTGTGCACGCATACGTGTGAGTGCAGTTCAGCATGAACACACCTGCACACCTACACAAACACCACTGCACTCAAGCAAGCGCTCACTCCATAAATGCATATAGATATATACAAATGCACTCTGCACACACCTACATCCAAACTGCGCTCACCCTATAAACACGTGCAAGTGCATTGTGCACACAAATACACACCCTCATTCCTTATGTTTATAAACTTGTTTGTTCACAAGTTTATAAGCATAAGGAATCCCCCCCCCCCCCCCCACCCCGTCCCCACCCACCAACACCCATCCCCACTCAAACACAAACCAC